GTAAAAATTTGAGAAATAGTCATGGCTACATATTTTTGGCCAGCACTGTACTACCATGGAGAATGCTGGCCTTCTGCTGCAAACTTTAAGAGGATGAATTGGGCTCACTGATGAGTCTGAAGCTTAAGCTTTCCCAATTCGCGCAGCTGAAGCGATCACCGATTGAGAATTGTTCGATGATTATCATGATGAGAAGCAGAGACCAGGTCGCTGTTAGGTGAAGATCTCAATATATGGAGATTTAAAAGCTTGATATGAATGTCATTTTCACGGGTTTTACGACTGCTAATAGCAAAAGCTGAGATTACTGCTGGGTCTGCTGGGTTAATGAAATTTACGTTGTATCACTCGTCTTGAGTGTTTGCAAGCCAGCTTAAGCGATGAGCACGTCGTTATTTATGTTTGACTTTGCACAATGCAAGACAGGCCACTGACTTCTAGGAGATAACCATTACATCAATTTTCTGTTGCAACAGCACCGCTCCACTTCATGAGACAGCTTGGCTCAGTACAAGGTTGGGTGTAGGAAGTGCGCTGTGGGGGGTGACCTTTCTCAGTAGGCGCTAAGCAATTTACCAAAGATGAAAGTGGCTCTTGTTGTAATCCCTCGGAAGAGACCAATTCTTTCGAAGAAAGCCCTCATAGTTTGGGTATATCGAGCAAGTACATATTGCATCATATCTTTGCTGTAAATCACCACATATAGATATGATATCGGCGCAACTTGCGAAGGAAACACCTGTAAAATTGTCAGAAATTCTATTGAGTCTTCAAGTGGAGTTTGAAGATTTTGAAAGTGTGTAACGCTTACTTGTACTAGTCCTTGGCTCAAGATACGAAATCATTCGACCTGCAGCGTGATTAGAACGTCACATCCCACGGATCAGATGGGACACGAAGAAGCTAGATGTCAATCTTTTCTTTGGTGGAGAATCGGCAGATCATCTTATCATTCTCTGATAAATATCAGAAGCGTATTTGGCGCTGCACATGACAACAGCATATGAAAATGGCTGAAATTGAGCGAATTGTTATTGCTAGGTGCCTCGTGCGGAATTCTAGTGGCAGAAACAACGGCAAGCCGAGGTCATAGGATGAGATTGAACGGAAATGTATATCGCCGTCTGCAGAGGTACCTCTGTTCTAGACAAGAAGAGCATGACATGTCGTAAGTCTTAGACCGTATGTCTGTCGGGGGAGCAAGGAACAGCAGTGAGCTATTGTTTCCTGCGCCAGGTCTTGTAGAGGGTGGGAGCGACTGGGTGTCTATATTTGCCTTCTTTTACATTGCGGCAATTGTGCTGATCAGCACTGCCATGTGGTGACACATCGCGCAAAAATTCGCTGCTTTGAGCGTAAGTGGTGGATGACATTCTTCACTCGTAAATGAAGTCCCGAGATGGTCCAAGGGATTTTAAGTCTCCTCATATAGAACTGTGATAAGTTTCTTGGCGATATGTGCAGCGATTTGCAAGATAATGTGGCCGTACAAATATGGCACGGTTAAAACAGAAGGAGGAGTTTAGCGCGCCATTTGAAATAGAAGACACTCACAGATCATCAACTATTAAAAGCAAATAGTTACCCTCAAAGATCCTATGGACTCAATCTATTCTATGTGGAAGGATTGATACGATGTGACGATAAGTGACTTCTCCGGTTGTAGAGGGCGTCATGAAACTGACTGGTTTTTGAAACCAAGACCTGTGTCACACGGCGGTGGCCCTTATAAAGGTAACAGTGTGTCGTCATTGCCTCTTTTTCGTGCAGATTACGAAGCGGGTATGGCAAGAGAAAGTTGACATCACATTCGGCACTAACCTTCGGGCTAAAGCTGGCTAACGGCAGGTGAGGAATTGTGTATGCTTACAACAAATTTAATGCCGCCACGATCTCGGCGCGAACACGATTCCAAGAGCCAAAAATTGCAAAATAGCATAGTCGGCTGCATAGTTTTAGGACCCTCGGCTTTTTTGAATTGATGACTTTTATTCACAATCGTTCCCAAACAGCGATATCCCATTTACTGCGGTGAGTAGTTTTGGCGAAATGCCCTGGAAACGGCTACTTATGCCACAGAGTTCATGACATATCGATGTTCAGGTCACATCAGTGGTTTTTTACCAATCTAATTTGACAATATATCTGGCCTGAGATATCCAGAGGACGGGAAGTCGGATGTGAAACACTACATCGAGTACTTGCGAACGGTACTCGAGTGTATGTGCTTAGATAAGCTGTTCACCAGTACGAATGTGTAGTTCGCGCTAAAAAAATTCTCCTTCTGGGTTGCTTTACTAGGAACCAGGGCCCATTAGCAGATCGCGCAGAGATAGATGCCATTGTTGATTAGCCATTGTCGTTGTTTCAATCAGGTTCTGGGCAACTACATAGCGCGACCCCTCCTCAATAAAACTTTTAAATGGTAGTGGGGTGCAGAAGAAGATACAACCTGAAGGTTATGAAAAAGAACTTCTTGTGTGCCCCGATACTGACATGTTTTCATTTTAAACGGTTACTTTACGTAATCCATGACGCTTTAACCTTTGGTATAGGCTTTATTATTTTCTAAGTAGCTATCACAGGGCGTGAATACGTGATCGCGCTTGAGTCTCGCTACGTGAAAGGTGTGGTAAAGCAATACTCATTTCATGGCAAGAAGCTGCTTGCAATAGAGTATATATCAAGATGGATCAGCTTGGCTTTAAGGTGCTTTTGATCGATACAGATCATGCGTCACGACGTCATCACCACACTTCTCACAAAGTGTGGCAAGACGGCTGAACTCGTTTGCCGAGTATACTGTCGAGTTAAGGTGTAAGACAGATCGCTCTATTGCGTCGCCCCTACTATAAATTGCGCATGCCACAATGTTGACAATTCATGAGGCGACACATTCCGCGTGTGGGTCGGATTCGTAATGTGCTGCGCTGCTGGAATTTTTCGCAAGCAAAGAGGGGGTTGAGAGCTCGTATGTCACTTTATCGAAGCGCATGGGCCCAGGCCTGTAATGTTAATACTTATCTCGGCGTTTGCCGTAAAACAGCAGTGGCTCACTTGACATTCAGCCTGTGTCAGCACCTTATGGTAAAATGGTCGAGTACTAAATACTAAGCGATGCACATGATACCCCTTTGTTAAACGGGGTTACACATACCCTTGTAACAGGGTGTGTGTGTCACAACAGATGGGCATGGTGTGACCACACCTAAACAAGAATACGGTACGGGGCTGAATAGCCAGTAGTTATACATGATTTAGATTTTACAATACATATTTAACAAAATATATGCAGTTTAAATTAGGCGGCTTTGCCGCAGATAAATTATTAAGTTAATGAAAAAGTCAGTATTGAATTTAAACGGAAAAGATAATCAGCCTTGGGTTAAGGCTATAATTACTCTTGGAGTAAGCGGATTGCGATCCGCTAAACCCGCACTTGTTCTGATTAAAGAACGAGAGGTCGGTGACCTAACTCACGCTTCCTCAAAGCTCGAAGCTACGGCAGCCCCGCTGCAGTAAGTCTTCTTTTTTCTCAACTGGATTGCGCTAGCCTTAAAACACAAAAGGAACACACAGTCTCTTCACGAGTCCAAGAAAAGTAAGCACGATAGAGGCGGTCTCAGCGACGAAGTTTTTGGCTATGGCGGTGGCGACGGTCTTCAGAAAGCAGGGACCAAAAGGTGCTACCAAATGTAACGTGTGTGTGTGTGGAGTAGGTAGCAGACTGGAAAAGTGATCATGTTTCTGTTCATCTTTCTGCTGATTATATACTTGTAAACTATATATCTATTATGCATTTCTTATTAAACCACGTGTTTTTCATCTTCCAATCCGGTTAGAGAGAAAACAGAAAGATGCTAAGCCACTTGCTTCACTTTATCCGAAAATGGGCGCGTTCAGTACCGCAAATACGAAAGGTAGACGGCACATGTTCGATTTCAGAGTATATCCGTATAGTGCTGTGCGAATACTGCGCTTGGCTAACACCACCTGCACAGATACGCTAGTTGCTTAAAAAATCGTGCTTACAAGTGCAGATTGTGTTTTAAACTCGGAAGGTGACGTACGCATTCGCTCCCCTAGCACTTTCAGCTTTACGCTTCTCCAAGCGGCAACTTTTATTACAGCACAGTGCATAAGCAGTCAAATTTTGGACTCAGTGGACGCGCAACTCGTATGTTTTTGTCGGGTTAGATGCAGAATCAGGAAATACAACGGCGCTTTGCTTCTACCACCCCCAAACACTTTTGCACAAGACCATTCCATAAAAGTTCAGCTGAATGACTACGGATGCAACGACGAAATCAGTGAATGCTTTCAACGTCGTGATATTTAATATTTTCACCAGCTCAAACGACCCGGCGTACTTGCTGCGCCACAACTGCGGCTAGTGTTAATGCACGACAAATTTCTTGATCCCTTAGGCTGCTTAAAGTTGGCCAGTCTGGAGCTTACGATTTTCTTCTGCGTCATGTAAATATCTAACTAAGTAATCAAAAGTTTGAAAGTCGCTTTCATTCGCGCCCTTTGGCGTCCTGAACGTTAGGGAAACGTTACTCATTTCCCTATCTGGCATATAAATTTACGGCATCGCAATCTTTCTGCATCGATGAAATGCAGTACGTTCCTTGTTGCTGACACCTGGGCATCTAAACTATAGGCTACTAGTGCCGCTTAAGACGCCAGTGGATGGGGGTGCTATTGACTGGAGAGCCATGATGGCTCGGGACTGTAAGGTGTCACTTTTGAATAAGCTAAACTGAATCGTTTAATAAGTAGAAGTCTAAGAAGAAAGCGGTCTCAAAGACCAATTCTTTTGATAGCGAAGTCTTCGCTGATCCTATGAGTGTTGTCAGGATTTTTAAGCATATGTCTATCGAAATAAAGTGGTGAACCTCATAGAGACCATCCGAATGTATCCAACCTACGTTAGTGATGCCTCGGTCCATAAACAATGAGTACTTTTATCCACTTCAGCCAGTTTCTAGATTTTCTTTACATTTGCACTCCTGAAATAGTAGCGTAAACTTACAGTGTAAGTCACTTTAGAGACTCAGTTCCGCTTTTGTAAGAGCGCATGAATCTAAACTCAGTGCGTACGTTAACGTTGACTTTAATAGTGAAACGCTTTTGGTCTTCCTCTGTGCAATGTTTTCTTTCACGCAATTTCTTCAAGAATCAGAGTGATCATGGGATCTCACTTTGGTGAACAAGTGTCCTTGAATAATTAATCTAAAGCCCATTTTGCTGAGGGTTACCGATCTCAATCATGGATAACGTACACATTACACAACGGTGGCGATCACGATGAGATTTAATGATGAGTGCGCGATATCAATGACGGTGATAGGAGCCAGATGAATAAAACAAGCCCCAGTCGTTGATAATTTGAAAACGATTTCATATTTTGGAACAATTCAAAGTGAAATTGGATCATAATCTATGGAAAAGGTAAGAAACATTACTTTGTTACTAGCATTCTACGAACTCAGACTGTCAACGTGGCGAACAAAGTCGGCCCAATATCCTTTCTCATGCTTAGCAGCAAGAGCATACACATCGTTCAGTATTCTACCGACTGTGTCTCGATTTCTGTTTGACGCGATCATTTCAGCGAGTTGTTTGCTACTGATTCTAGAGCGAATCCGTTCGTAGAACGAGGATATGGAACTAGGCGGTCCATCCTTGATCCATGCATATGCAACCCAAACCTTTGCATTAGCTATCCAATTTATGTATCCAATCTTCTCAATGTCATTCAGCCTCAAATGATACCACACAGTAGTTTTGTTATACTTCTTTTGTTTCCACCAATGTAGCCGCAAACCCCACCCGATCATGGAGTAAAAACCGCCTCGTGCACACGCGATTTTAAACTGATTCTCAATATCAACCTGATCCTTCATCTTAGACAGTAATGCTTCATACGAGAATTGTTCAGAATGAAGATAACCCACATAGAAATTCCACAATACAACGTTTGGGTTGTCAAGTCTGATGTGATTTTCTTGTAAGCCCAACTCTTTAAAAAGATGATCAGTTGATATTTTCATCGACTTGTAATACTGTAGAAGCCTCACACCGATCTCATAGATCATCTCTGATGTAGCGGCGCTCAATTCGATTTTGGCAAAATCTTTGCCGAGTTGAATGCTTTGGCTGTGGTAGCGACGCATCAAACAGCGAAAAAGTAAGTCGTACCCAAGAGAAGGCTCATGATTGTATGCTTTAAGCACCGCACGTGTCCATTTAATAAACCACATACTCTCAAGAAACGATCCCAGGAATTTCCTCTCGTATATCTTGATAAGTTGTAGTGCAGCGCCTTCCTTATCAGCGGCAAATCTGATGTAGAGATGCGGAAAAAGTCGCTTCACGATGCCCAGACTCATAAGTTTCTCCCAAATGTACCTGATCCATTGTGCGGATAACATTCTCTCCTCAGCAATGTCATAGTCGCTATCGACCAACGTATCC